AGGTGCACTGTCACCTAACCGAAACGTGATTCTCGGCTTCTTATCTGTGGACGGTGGTTCGTGACCCGGACGGAACATGGTGGACCCGGTGGGGATCAAACTCGCGACCCGGGTATTATTAGCCGTATAACACATATACACGTATATCTGATAGCCCCTTTCCCCTGAATGAGGCGTGGGACATTTCTCTGTCGGCTGACCCAATCCCAATCTAAGTTTAATACGTCAGCAGAGCATCTTGACCTTCCGTCATGTGAATCCTACCCTTGTTCCCCTCTTGACATAGGACTTCTCGTGGGCAACGAGGTAAGTTCACCAGTCAAACAACGGAGGTTAAGAGAATGCTATTTTTTTCTTTTTTCATTTCCAGTAATATTTTCCCTTTTCGTGAAAACACACTTTTAACGGTTTAATACGCGGAATGTATTGCTTAACTTATTTACAATTTATATTAACAACGACCTGTTTCGGTAAGTTAACTAAAAAGTAATAAAATAAGTAATTTCGATTACAAATACTGATGGCCGTATTGGATTCGATTTCTGCCTACGCAATTTATTTGTTAATTCAAAAATAATTTTTCAATTTGTCTACACTCGAGTTTCAAACTTAACTGTTTCACACCGCACCGAGTGACTTTAAACAAAACGTGAGAAATGAATAAATAATTTTAAAGTAAATAAAAATTTGAAATTCAAAATCGTTGAAATGCACAAAGTACGCTGCGAGTAAATAAAAATGTTGCCTTTGAAAGCGCCGCGCAAAACTATATTATTATACTTGTATGAATTATGAAATATGCACGTTTGCGTTGACTATTGTTAAAATTTCAAAGTAGGGTTAGCATAATAGGTCAATATCGTCGGACTATAAATAAAAACTTCAAAAAGAAACATTCACCCAGTTGTGTGTTTCATTGGTGATAAATCCAGATATTTATGCCATTTAAGGTTAGGTTAATAAAACAAAATAAAACGGTTTATAACGCGAAATATATAAGCTAACTTTTGCGTGTAGGACACGGTAGCTGTATTATAGCACGGAACGCTATGGATGTCGGTACAAGATCTGCCCGTGTCGTAATTTCTTTTTTCAATTTATGATCGTTTTTTAAGTTACAAGCTAATTTATATAATTTAATAAATTGATTTTAATTTAATTTTAAAACGTTACTAACAAAATAATTAAACCGTGTGCACTACTCACTTGAACTACAGATAATGTATGTATTAAAAAACAAAGGTAGAGAGGAGACGTTGAACCGTAACCGAACAATAATTTTAAGTGAATGAAATTCTAAGAAGAAATTTATATATATACATATAATGTTATCGTATGTTTTTTATAAGCTAGAATAGTGACCATAGACTCAATAGTCCGAATTTGTTTAAACAAAAACATACAGCAGAGTATCGATTACAAGTAACCGAAGAACAGTTTATCCGAACTTTTGGATACTTGAATTCTAATGAAATAAAAATCAAAACTCAAGTTCTTCATTAAGTAAATTTGCTTACAAGACTGTCCCAAACGTTATTCGTATTTCCCATTTAATCGGCGACTCAACACACATGGATTATCCGAACGATACGAAAAATACCTCCCATAGTTCGGTTAGAATAGTATTATTTTGGCAGTAAACAGTGACATTTGTGAGTAGGGTTTGTTTATTGTTTCCATCCAAACTTATCGGAAGAGCTCTGTATCACAGTGATGAGGTTTTTCTAGATATGTCTGGGAGTTATGTTGTTCGCGGCTGATTTATACGACCCCCCTCCCTCTCCCCACCCACCTCACCTCGAGATGAGCTCGCTCTGCCATTTATTACACGCCTTAGTGTTTCTAAAGCCCAACGTTAACACGCTATAGGTGCGGTAGAACGGAGCGTGAAATACAAAACTGAAATAACGTGTATTTAAACACCGCCTGCAGTTTACTCTAGTACACTAAATGAAATACTTTTAACAGTTTAAAATTGTATGATTTTGGTCACCATGGTCATGGCTTAAAGCATTTAAAATGTCGAGCCTTACTTCAAGTGAATTATAATTTATTTAACTAATATACGTTATAGGCCGTTATTTTTTCATTAATTTAATCGAACACTCCCAGCATTTTGATAAGCAATACAATGAAACGAACATAAGATTGTGTCTGCCCCATGCCCCCAATACAGAATAAGTACATTAAGTGACTTATGACTTACATATACCTATAAGCAAAAGGAAAACATTTCTAAGTATATATTTGCATAGAAGACAACGCTGAAATACCTACTTAAATATTTTTTTTATTATAAAAGAGGAGAGACAATGTTTCACTTGATAGAAGATGCCACATTTCAATAAGACGCGGGGTTGACGTGTACGAAGTATATGTATCTCGATACATATACTTCGTACACAATCGTTACATAATATTTTAGTATTAATATAAACGTAGATAGACAGAAGAAGGTACTGAGCTTCCGTGGTCGAGTCACATGCGCTTTGATTGCCAAAGCACGCCGTTTGGCAGCCACTCAGCTCTTCCACCCTCTCACAAATTTTAAAAGTTATTACATTTACAATGTAATGCCCGACTCGAATAAATAAACTGCAGATATTCACTTATATTCATGCAGTCCATAATTCTAGTACTCCAAATAACTGCAACATTTCCAGATAACGCTTTGACCCAATTTGACGGGCTTGTTGGTCTAATGGTAATGGTTTAAAACGCGATATATATTACTTAAAATAAGTTTTGCTATATACAAGTTTAAACCGTTACAGTGTTTTATTTAAATGCGTACTACTCGCATAAACCACAGACTAAGACACAGATTAAATTTAATCAAATTTCGTTTTTAATCAATTTTGGATGTCTGTAACATGTTCGACTTCGTCTAGAAATCTGGATATTAAAGGTTACATATCACCGTCCACAGATGAAGAAGCCGAGAAGTTTTATCGCGTTTCGGTTTCCAGTCTATAGACTTCCGAATATCCAAAGCCAAAATAGGTCGACAGCACAACTTGATTAAGTGAAGTTTTCCTCTATCATAAAAAAAGTTTTCTGTGTCATTTCTGTTAGTGATAAACACGCAATATATTACTAAACCTATTTTTAATTCACTCGCTATAGCCGCCCCGTGACCACGGCAAAGCATTAGAACCGTCGGGCCGTAGTGAAATTAAATAGAAACAAGTTTATTAATATATTTCGTATTTGAAACCGTTATAAGTGTTTCATTGAAATGTGTACTACTGGCGTAAACTAAAGACAGTACTTACTCATATCTAGGTCAGTCTTTTTATTATATATTTTATGTATTTCACATTCGTTCTTTTAAGAAAAATATCGCAATATGCATGTTATATATATGTATAAGTTAAGTTAAGTGAAACCCCGTTTCCTCATGGGGCATGGGGCGAACACATTTTTGTGTTCGTTTTCCTGATCCGTTATTTACCAGACAATTGATCTGACTTCTGTGCCTGGCTGACTGAAACAATTTTTTGCTTCCCTGGGATTCGAACCGAGGACCTCTCGCAACGCAATTCTAGGCAATACGTTTAACCATTTGGCTACAGAGGCAGTCATTGTATAATCAACCTTTACGTATTCACTTTCTTAACATAAACATTGAAACATTCCAGTGGGTGTTAAAAACTATTTTGTTTAAGAAAAGTAGAAATCTTATTTCTCATACTTGACACTGACTAAGATATTTGAAGACTTTATTATGTTTTACATGTTATTGGACATGAAGGCACTATATAATTTAAAAATCGAAAAAATTGAAAGAATGTTCGTCCGTTGAAAGAAAGTCGAAATTTTTTTTTCAATTTATTTTCGATTTTTCAATTATACTGACTAAGATAGATGATAATTTAAAATCTCAATAGTCTATAGCTTATTATACCAAATTTTAATCTTATTAAAATTTATTTTCTGGTATCTTTTTGTGTCTGAAGAGGACACAGAACAGACAAGCGTGGCCTTCACTTGATGAAGGATCAAATGCCCCTTTTATAATACCTAAACTCTTGTTGTGGTGTTGTCAGCTTTTGACTACGATTTATTTAAACGAGGGCGTTTACGAGATACTAGCGATTTTGGGCATCCAAATTAGGTTTTGCAAACCCCCCTTCATCTTTAAAACTTAAGCTGTTACTCACGACGTCGGTCGCGGCCCTTCCCGGCGTTCTTGCAAGTTTATGTTAAAAGATATATAGCGTCGTGGTCTTTTTTTAGATCGTTTAAAGAGGAATCATTCTTTCACACATATTGTTGAGGTATAAGATGATGAATAAGTCTCACATTTCTCGCGATGTCTTCGCTTGTATTAGTCACAGAGCGATATTTTATAGCCTATAAGCCACCTCGATAAATGCTCTAACGAGTATAATAATATTTTTTCAATTCGAACCAGTAGTTCCAGTGATTAACGCGTTCAAACAAACAAACAAACCCTTCAGCTTTATATATTAGTATAGATTAGGCAAATAAAACAACAAATTCATAAATTCGATCTATTTAATATTTTTTAAATTATTAGTATATCAGCGAGTCACAACTTAAACGAAATGAGGGACGGGATAGATCATAAAACTATACATATTCATTTACACAAGAAAGAACGAAAGATGTTATCAGAGCATGTATGACACGCTTCTGCTGTGACGTCATCGCGTCGTGTCACAACACGACACGCGACAGTAACGCACGGCTATTCCTACATCGCTCTACTGAAGACGTACTTACAATATATTACACACACACAACACCCAGTGACCTGGTGTGTGGTTTACACTATTTTACACTCGCGCCGCACTCACACACAGTCACCGACGAGGGCACAATTTATTCTTTGTAAACGTTTTATACAATAGGGTGGCAGTGAATCTCTTGATATAATTGGCATCGTCGAGTGTATAGTCCGGCAACATACAGGCGCTCCGTCACACTGTGGTCTCGCGGTCCACGTGTATGTATTCGACGGAGCGCTCGCGGCGTCAGGAGCCGAGCGAGGAGCGTTCGCCATCGTAGAGCAACTCGTCTGTGAGTCGACGAGACCGTGTTGCTATAGCACCAAGTAATTGCTTATCACGTCGTGCCCGACGCCGTCTCACCGCTAACACAGCTAGCAGAGCCAGAGCTGCAGCCGCGGCTGCCGCTCCAGCTGCTCCAGCCGCCGCTGGTGCTCCTAAAGCAGCAAGCAGACGTGCTCCTGCACCGCAAGCCCCGGCTTCATCAGCACCGCCTGGACAATCCGGTGCACCGTCGCACCAAAGTGCTGGTGGCATGCAGGCGGCGAGTGCGATACATGCGCGAGCGCATGCCGACACATTGTTGGCGGCTGGTGCAGCACGCCACACTTCCATCCAGGCGAAGTGTGCGGCGCCGCTCTCACGCGCCGCCCATCTCACCAGCAGACTGGCCTCGCGGGCTGCGGTTCGTGTATCCCAACCGTCGCTGTAAATATGTACTGCCCCACTGTCTGCAGTACCGGGACATATCGCTTTCACCAGCCTATGAAGAATACAATCGCTTAATGTATGTACTATTGTTTACAAATTTCACTTTTTTTTTAATATAGACAAACATGATCATGATGATGGATCAAGGTTCACTTTTTGGAGGCTAAATACCCCAGCCATATAACAGCTCAACAAGATGTGTGCTCGACCCATTTTGGCTTTGGAAATTCGGAATAAGAAACTAACTATAATTGATATTATTGGCTGCATACTTTCACAAATTTATAAACTACATTTAAACATATCTTTTTAATTGATCATTTTTGGAAGAAAACTATTTCATTACCTAGATGAATAAGTGTCGTAGACGAGAATCCTGTTTGAAGTCCGGCAATTGTTAATATCGTTGTTATTGCCATTTAAGAGGGGGATTTCCTCCCCCCAAACACGAAGGAAGACGGAGCGGTTGCCCCGCGCGACCAGCAGAAATGGGGCATCTCCACATTCAGACATGCGATTGGCACTGACAACATAAACAATTGTACATTGAGTTTTTTTACAAAGATGTTATATCTATACTATATATGTGAATGATGAAATCGATTTTTGGCGATACAATGCTATCATGTGCAACATTAATGTTTTATATTATCAAATTATACAACAACTACTAAATGAAGTGATGATAAGTTATAAAAATTTATTTTTATAGATATTATGTTTGTAGTCATAATAGTAATCATACTTATTTTATTGTTATGTAAGTTTGTTTAGAAAATAAATTCTAACCATATAGGTACTTTCTGATTAAGAATACAAACAACGTAAACTCACTTGTATGGGTAGATCAAATGAACATGACCACCCGGTGGTGGTAAACGACGACGCTGCGCGCAATCCGAAGGCCCGGTACGACGTCTCCAATCAGCCACATAGTGAATGTGCCTATGATCTTCTCCAGGAGCCAACGCACTTGCCACTAGCTCCAATTCCAGAGCAGGTCCCCCGGACACAATGCTCATTGGCGCACTGCTATTGTCGCAAATACAGGCCACCGGTATCTTCGATTGGAAACCAAGAGAGATTTAAATAAAACACTTTAACGGCGTTAAACGCGAAATATATTAGATAATTTAATTTGAAATTTATTTTAACTACGGTCCAACGTTTTGGGTGTTTTGCAGCAGCCATGGTCACGGCGTAGTTAAAATAAGTTTAACTAATATATTTGGCGTTTTAAACCGTTAAAGTGTTTTTTTTTAAGTGTACTACTCGCGTAAAGTGCAGACAGTAATTAAATGTACAAAATAGTCTGTACAAATTATCTGAAATAATTTCCGAATACAAAATTATTCAATGTAATAAATATAAGTGTTCTAAATACTTCTTAATATATAAATACTTTTGTAAGAAAACGAGAGATTTCAGTGAATTTAAGTTTATTATGTCTAGTTTAGTTTTAGTAAAATTTATAGTAAAACTAGTTCCTCCAACATTTTAGCACTACTCTTCCTTCGATTAAGCCTATGAACCAAACCCCCAAAAAAAAATGAGTCCCACCACACGGAAGGATTGTATTCTCTACTATATCTTGAGACTAAAACTTATAAATGTCGTCACAAATATCAGTTACACAGAAATTCGTAAAAAGTCCTTTGATGATCTTTATTTGATCTTATTCTAACATACATTTCGTCGTACATATTTCTTTGATGTTGAACCAATTTAAAGCACAAATTTTATAAATTTCTACCAACACATTACTAAAAGTATTTTCTTAGAAAAAGCATTTTTGAAATCCTAACATGCTAAGCACAATGTATTTAAATGTAAGATGCAAGATGCACCTTTGTACAGTATTTTCGATACAAAATGAAAATACATGTCTTGTATCCGTATTTCAACTTAAATCTAGAGAGCAGATTTAAGGATATCAAGTGTCATCTAGTCAAACGTATATCAACTTGTCAAGATGCATTGAAGTAAAAGTGGATGAAGATTTTATAAAATAAAAATGATCGATACATAATTTGAGAACTGATATTAACTCACCCGGTAGCCAGGCCATGGCGATTCGTATATACGCAAATGAGGCACGTACGATGGAATCTCATCATCCCAATCGTCGAAGTCCGGGGGCGTATCAGTCGGACGTAAATCCAGGTCCAGGTGTTCATTTACACAGCTCGGCCGGCCAGTTAGCGAATCCAGACGCGTGACACAGCGAGGGTCTCGTCCAAACGCTGCCGAGAGTAAACTCAGCTCCACGCGAGCGCCATCTGCTTGAACTCGGGTTACACACCGCAATCGTTTCGCACCACCTCGTCCGAACCACATTGCATTACGCGGCGACGTGAATGACCCAGGAACGGTTATCCTTCGAGCACATTCCGGTGGTTCAGATCGAACCCGCGTCTCTGATATCGGTAGCGGTGTTCCTTCTAGCCTTGCATCTACAAACTCGTAATGTAGAGAAAACGCTAGAGGGTGCGTGGCTGTCCCTGGTAAAGTGGTAGCCGCGATCGATAGAAGTGAAGCTGTGGAAACATAGCCGTCTGGTGGGGAGCACGGGCGTGGTACTCTCGTCGCGTTAGCGAGAGCGGCTCGTGCGCATAGTGACGGTGGTGAATCACAATATCTTCCTAGGAGCGCACCGTTCCCACCCGTTTCCCCTCCCTCCCAGATTCGCAACTCCACCGCACACGGACTACCAGCAATCAAACGTCCTCTCACTTCTGCTACTTTGTCTTCTTCCCCACTCTCCACCCGCCTGTTATCCACTAATGAGTACTGCGTAAAACTTGAGAAATATATCCATACAAGGTCACCTGTGAACAAACATATTATCAAATAATAATGCATTTAGTAGAAAAAGAGACGCCAGTATTTGATGATTTACCAGGACGTCCGTGAAATGTCCACGTGCATGTAGTATTGGGGGGAAGAGTGTGAGTAGGCGCATGAATACGACCACGACGACCACGCGTCGATATACCCGGTGCTGTAACATTTAGTTCCTCATCTGAGGATGATGCTTTGACGTGGAATTCGCATCGACGGGCTTCCCTGTTGGATTGAAAGCTGCTTATTAACTGTCCAAGTGTCTGTGGAACTGGTAGAGAAACTAATTCATACCTGGCATAATCGAGTGAATCGGAATCAGCGAATATAACGTGTACGTCAAGTTCGAAGCCTTGCAACGGAGCGAGGGGTGCGGCAGCCCGTGGAGGGGCACTGAAGGGCGAAGAATGAAACGCTACAAGCATATCTGGACCCCGGGAAGCTACACGCGGCAACAAGTCACCGCCACAGTATTCAAGCAGGACAGGATCGTCTGTCGAGGCGCCATCGTAGAAGATGAGGCGATCTCGTTCACCAGTACAGGCACGCCATGCCAGAACAGCGCGCCCGGTCTTGTTCAAGCTTAACATATCAATAAAAACTTTTAATTCCTGTTTCCAATGAAAGTCATTTCTAAAATAACCTAAATAGCTGTTACATGCGACTTCTATCTTAAATTTAAAATTACAACACATTTCATATTTATTATAAAAGTAAAATAATTGGTAACGTATAACTATTATAGAACTCTGACCAACCTCGCCATGGATATGGAGCGCTTGATCTGCATTTTGTGCGCATGGTCCTGCCTCACGGAGATCATAGCATGTTTGCAGGTGGGGATGTCTTTCTGCCGCAGAGTCCAGTAGCAGGATACATTACGCGGATACATGCCCGGGAAGTTAGGGCTCTGTAGGCGACACGGTTTGCGATGGCATTCCTCAAAAGAGCGCGTACAGTACGAACCGGGTGCTGCCGCGCCACGCTCCAGGGGCCTTTCCCTTGCACCCAGTCGTACGATCGCCGTGCGCGCCGCCAATACCTTGTACCGTAGTCGTAGCGCGAACGGTTCGCCTAGCCGAAGTCGAGCTAGCCTTAACGACACCGTCACCGTCGCAGTCTCGCTGTAATACAACGCCACGCCATCAGCCACCCCGCACCACGAGCCGCCTGTGAAAGGTCGCCCAAGCTCGGCCACTTGCATATATCCATCTGGACAGCCATCCAGCGCTCCCGCTTCGTAACGTCCCACTCGGAACTCATCAAACGCCAGTTGCACGAGATCACCATGAGCGCCACCGCCAGCAGTGAACGTGAGATGGCAAAGGAAGGGCGCACGGGGCACGCCTCGCAGGGCAACTGCGTACGCGACGCCCACGCGCCCGTAGTACGTGCGGTTACACGGCGTGCACTGGGGCGGTTCGTCGCTACCGTCGAGACACTGAGCTTCGCCATCGCAGTAGGCGTCTGGCCTCACGCATGTGTTCCCTCCACCTGATCGGCAGGCCAATTCCGCTACGCCGCACCCGCCGGCCGCTCCGCGCGTCCACAGGGCTATCCCCAGCGCCAGCGCCGCCACCGCGCCGCACATCGCCGCTCAGCGGGACCGCATCACGTCGACGACAACCAAACCTGATATCTTCCAGATGCACTATTTGTTATCCGAATATACGAGTTTCTTGTCATTTTTTCAATCATGACGAGGAAAGAACTACGGGCACTAGTACTGGACTGTTGGAAACTAAGCCTTCATGCCGAAGGTCGGCGAGTACGCGGCCGTCGAATCCCGTCGGCTGTAGCGCGGCGTGGAGGCTACAGCCGCGTGACGTAATGCCGCACCACACTGCAGCGCGGCGCGGAGCGAGCAGAGTAGCGGCAGGGTGGAGGGGGAGGGATGTGCGCGCGCACAACTCAGCCAGAGCAATCGTGAGGGTCCAGGAAGTGCCATTACCCGCGGGCTGGATTGAATTTTCTACGATAATTATTATTATCGTACCTACTCGCTTGTTTTTGACTGCGCACAAACCGTGTGTTTACGATTTAGGATGTTAATTCCTTTGACATGCTCTAGTCTATATGACGCAGCTAATAGACTTTGAAATACATACTTCCAGAAAATGTAGCATAAACCAAAACCAGTTATAAATCTATCTAAACTTTCCTGGGTATATCCAATTGCTTTAGAATTATTAAACCGCAAAGTTAGAATCAATTATCGAATCTAAGCCTCCTCAGAAACACGCACGCGTAGTACATACCAAAAAGCAATCAGATGTTAGAAAAGTACCAATTGCTTTAGAGCTACTAGTAACAAATAGTCTAATTTAAACAACATGAAATATGGTAATTATAAAAATTGTTAAGGTTGACCCAAAAATTTGTTAGCCACTTTTTATTCTTGATCTCTTTAACATTATTTTTTTACTCTTTAATAAAAGTTTGTATATACGCTATGTCAAAAATTCAAATCAAAATATTTACACAGAAATAAGCAGAAAGGGCTGATCACCAACTAATTAGAGCTGTAACATGTAATTAGCGTTACCTAGTTAATTTCAATAAGGTACAACACAGGCGAAGTAAAACAAATCTGTATAGCGTACTTTTAAGTTAAAATTTATTTGTTCAAATGCATTTGGTTTCGTCTTACAATAAATTATGGTAATATACTACATTTTCTATACAAAAATTACTTAAGTAGTCTGATAAGGGCGTTCTTGCGAACAAGGTACAAATTACAAAACGATAACGAAGTTCGTAAACAATAATGCAAACGTCCCATATTTTTTTATTTGACTGAGCTATCATGTCCGTTGTTACTACCAACTAAGCTAAAGATACGGTAGCTCAGTTGGTGGTAACACGCCTTTGTCATCGGATTTTTTAATGTATATTATACAAAAAATGTTTTAATGCAGTTAACACTGTGAATTAAACATAAGAATTGTTATTTTTATAGTTAAACATATTTTAATAAGCTTTGTCAAATAGATAAGCACAGTCGCAAATCATGAGTCAATATTGTTCGTATTTATCGTTTTGTAATTGATAACTTGCCTGAAGCGCCAGCGCATACCCCAAATAATCCGAGAACGAGCAAAACGCTTTACTAATCACTAGAAAAATCATTACGTGCCTTTATTTTTACTTTTGAGTTCATAATCGATTTACAGCGCAATATATAACATCATCATTATTTTTATAATTAAATTATAATACTGATTATCCTGAGTAACGATGTTTTATGTTAGATTAATCGTGATAAATCAAACACCTATAATAGCACTTTTAAGGTTTCAGAGGCAATTTTATAACACTACTTGGGGTTTTGGGCTATACGGGCGTCGCAATTAGAAAATGATTTCCATTTGATAGTCTCTCACTCTCCACTTAGGTGACAAACAGTCGCAGTAGCGAAACGTCGAAAACCATTTCCCAATTACGACGGTTCAGCTCGAACCCAAGTAGCTTAAAAGCATTTGTTCTTGGTTCATGTGGCATTCATTACAATAGAAGTTACGTATACAGATAAAAGGTGTATTTATAATTAAATTAACAAAAAAAAATGTTTTAATACCTATAACAAAACTATTGTTGTACTCAACAATTCAAGTCACTTTACAAAAGGGTCGTCAACTCAATTATATTTGTCTTTATCCGACTACGAGAGGAAAGGTAACGATTCTGTGAATATGTATGTAGGTATGTTACAGTATAACCGATTTCAAATGGTTAATTATATTTGCTTTACGACTATATGTAGTAGACTATATATAGTAGTATTTATATGTAGGCGGGTTGTACCTAGTCGTAAAAGCGTTCCAACTTGTTCATACTACCGTATTTGTGTGTGAAACCCTGCATTTTGTACAAGGGCCATCTAACAGACACTTGTCTTTTTCATTGATTGATTTTATTTACAACCAAGTACATGTGCCCCACCCTACTAAAATGTCTCCCCATGTTTCAAATGAAGGACCACTCGCACTTAACGCAATGCTACGCAATATGTTTAACAATTGAGCCACGTGATTATGTAGAGGAAGATAATTAATAAATAACTAATATTAACTAAGCTATTATCACTCTCAGCTCAACCGCTGTTGCACACCTAACAACGCGTTCACACAAGGACGAACTGTTTTTTACGAATTGTGCTTTTGTTTTGACGGAAGACACTATAAAATAATGCCGCTAAAGAAGATATAAACCGTTTACATTTTTCATGAAGTGTCTTAAAATTACGGGTGAAAGGTAAATACTATAACTCTAGCTCTATCGAATCTCATTCTATTTTATTGTTTCTGGACAGACTGAAACCAAAACACGGATATTGTCTTGACATCTATATTATTGATGATTTTCCCGAGAAAAATAACGATATCTCCCGATCTGTCCCAAATTTGATGGGGTCCAATGTGTTCAAATTAAAATGATTTTACTAATATATTGCTGCCATTGGATCATTGAGTCCGTCAAAATAATTAAAGAATGTGAACATAGGTCTTTAGAGGTAGCTTCCATCAAAAAATTGGACCGAACCGTAAGAGACAATTTCAGTGAACCGTGTGAACGCGTCCTTACTACAATATGATTAACAGACATGCTCATCTGAAACTTGCGCCACGTTTTTAAATGTATGTAAAAATAAATATCCAATCTAATTATGAAGAAACGTCTGCGTGCCACGAACAAGCCACTATGGCACATCATTTAAAATAGTCAAAAAGATTGTTGCGTTTTAGTATTACAAATCAAAAAGGTCCAACAAAATAAATTGTGACTAAATACAACTAGGCTTTACCATCACGAAGGGGCAAAGATAAGCGTAAAAAGAAATGGTTGTTCCTGGCCTAATGAAACTATAAAATTTTCAAGTCTGTATGTCCATAATGAAATATAATAGTTTAAGAATTGATAGTACAGTATCGTTTTTAAATTATCAAAATGTATTTAGCAGATGTTCATTTTCAGCCTGAACCAATATCGATAGTGAGCACTGCTCTTTAATTGATAGTTTGGGAAAATAACACATCGTTCTACATAATTACGATCAACTTTAAGATATGGTAAAACTTAGTAGTAGAATTAATATGGAAAAAATAATCCTAAAATGTGAAGACCTTGATATGTAATAACGCCAAGATTATTATGTAATATTGTAAAGCCACAAGCGTAAAGGGGAATGCCCACTCTCTTTAGTGTTCCAGGCCAAAAATTAACATAGAACCAACAATAGAATAGTTTTTTCAAAGACAAAACTTTGTTTATATTTCGAATATATTTTCCAGTTGTGGCCTGAAGCAAGCATTTCCCTTTTAACATTTGAGGCTGCTAGAGGCAGAGTAGCCTAACTGAAATTTTACGACTTGAGTTATTTATAATTTCATAGTCTAAAAATGTTAAACAAGAGCACAGTGACCGAAAATTGTAAACATAACTTTTACACAAATAATAGTCGTTTTAGCCTAAGTTATTTGCGCAAGGTTTATTTTTATATTTAGGCCACTCTGCCACTAGTAACCTCATTTATTACTTAAGTAAAAACTGTATTATGTATTTATGTAGATTATAAAAAATCTATCCTCGTACATACACATATTTTATCACACCATTAAGAATTGTACAATATTATATTTAAAAGGCAACATGCAAAATTTTATTATTTATGTATACCGTTAACTATTTAAATTATTATCTGTTACACAGCTCCTAATTAGAGTCAAGTAACAAAGTAGCTTGTGATTTAATTTTTAGTCTGTGTAAGTATAAAGCCCTATAAAACCCAAATATAATCCCCATTTTGAAGGAAACCATCTACCACTCACTCGCAAGAATTACTGTTTTACCCCAAAAACACAATTTAAGTAAAAAAAATTAACGATTAAATGTCAAAACAAAATTATTATGTTATTTATTGCAAAATATAGTATCGATAAGACATAGATACTTTTAGTGAGTGGCGTTAGCTAAAATACTTTTTATGCTTCTTGCAAATGAGTCGACATATGCCACAAATTAATCTATGAAACTAGTGGAAAAGTCGACATAATATCACCATCTTAGAATTGCCCTCCAGAACAACGTCATAGTGGTGTTCAGTAATCTCTACCAATATTCTATAAAAATAAGTTCACACGTATTGTTGAGGAGGCGCAATAAACGGTTCCGTTTCATCAAGGCCAGCTGTGGCCCAGTCCGTGCGGCGCGGTTCAGCTAGACCGCACAACCGTAACTGAAGGAAGTCCGCCAAGTTGTTGAGAGGACCCCGCGAGAATGGTGAACGCCCGCCCAGGCGCTGAAAGTGCCGATACCGCCCGCGGTTTAGCTGCTCGTTCGTCGTCATACCCAGACACACCACCTGTAATCCAAAATCTATGAGTCATCTAAGTAGTCCTACGTATACATGTGGTTTATCCAATAATAGATCAATCTTGTCTGTCCTTTTCTATCATAAAAAATATGCATAAATTTTTAATAAAACACTTGAACGGTTTAAAACTCGATATAATAGTTAAACTTATTTGAAATTTTTTTTTTAACTTCGGCCCGACGTTTCGGATGCTTTGCAGCAACCGTGACTACGTGACTAATATATCGCGTTTTAAACCGTTAAAGTGTTTCATTTAAATGTGTACTACTCGCGTAAACTATAGACAGTATTTATGCAAAAAATATTTTTATATGTCCTATTGAATTAGTAATAGTGAGTTATCAACCGTTATATTTAGGTTTTTCATTTCCAGACCGTGGAGAGTCCTTATAAACATTAGTGTAATGCAAATTTCAAATAAGATTAAAAACTACTGAATACAGTCGTAACACTCACCAAATAAAGCTGACAACAGGTCAGTACAGTAACCCAAAACAGATGGAACACTGCATTAACCAGTACCCAAGCCAGCCAGGCGTTACAGTAAGGCCAGGAGAAGGCAGATGCCGGGCAAGCGGTCTGGTAGTATTGTACACCACCCCACACCATCCAACCGCACATAGCCATCAAACTAATGAGGAATCCAACAAAATGCCTGTGGTTTCGCGCCCCGATGCAGTTAGCAACCCAGGGGCAATGGTGGTCGAACTTGGCCACACAGCGGTTGCATACTGAACAGTGTTTCGAACGCAGCGGACGCCGCACAAGGCACGCAGAGCAAAAGCGAGCCGCTTCAAACGCGCCACCACCCGTCTCGGAGAGTTCGAGAATCGTGCGCAGCTTATCGCTACGCGAAGCGGTGATGACGCCCGGATCGGAACGCCAGGAATGTAGAAACGTGTGCCAGAGTAACCCCGAACTCGCCAGAAAGCCAAGCGTGGCCGCTACACCCACCGCGGGAGCGATTACCACCATCCACGTCAAGTAAAACCACATCTGCGCAAAGCATGCATATGAATATGTTTTTGATTTCGTAGATTATCTATTAAAAAGTGTAGAGCAAAAGCTTAAGAGATTCTTTGCATGTATATTAAAACTATATAAGAATTTGTATGCAACCATTTTGTATAGCTACTTGAGTTGCTCAGCCATTATAATTGACTAGCTGTGTCAGCGACTTTCTCTTTTACAAGATTAATAATTTTCCATCCATATTTTTTTTAATTACCTGCTGTTTCTTCATACCTATAAGTCACATATGTTTTATAGCCTATATCTTTCCAGTGTGTTCAAACAAACAAACACACTCTTCAGCTTCATATATTAGTATATGATTAAATTTTTAATATAATTATGGAATACTTAAACAATAAACTTTAGTCATTGAAATATCTCATTGACAGTTTAATTTAGTAAAGCTTTTGCAATCAAATGGTAATAATTAAAATGGTAGTCTTACCTTTGTTGCTAAATAAACACTAAGTGGAAAAATATTCTTGAGTTCATCATCAAATAGGAAATTGGTGAGGAAATGCAACACAATGTAAAAACAGAGGAGTATTAAAAGTTTCATCAGGTATAGTGCTTCCATCTCCACCACCATGCCCGTTATATAAAAGGCCAAAAAGGGTATTGTAACTACACACCACCATCGAAATTTCTGTAAAAAGAAATAATAATAATTACTATACATACAAAAAAATATTTAAAGAATATCAAAATATAGTTATCTTACTCTATCATATGTTATCCTACGTAAAAAGTTACTTCTTGAGGTAGTCATTTCTTTAACTTTCTGGGCCACCTTGCTTCCAATCCAGATAGCATTAGGATTATTCTGTAACATCGCTAATGGCGTAACACCGCGTTGATTTGGTATTTCTAAGTTTGCATTTCCCTGTAATCAACAAAATTTTATCCTTTTAAGAAATATATGAATAATATCTTCTATCTAACTTCATGGGCATTTGTGGACCATCTGATACACATTACTGTTTCTTCATATTAACTGTTTAAAAAGTGCAATATATTAAGCTAAACTTATTTATAAATTATTCAACCACGGCTTGATGCTTAAATGATTTATAGATAAGTTTAACTTATATATTTTGCTTTTGAAACTATTAAAGGTTTTAAATTTAAATGTGTACTACTCATATTAACTACAACAGCATTTTTAAGGAAAACTATGCTAAATTTGCTTATTTGAAAAGTTTCAAAATAAACAGCATGTACTTACTTTCTATTATTTAATACTCACATAAAGTATCAGAGTACATATCGCTGTACTGTTTCTAGCTAAAATAGCCCAATGTAATGCAGTGTTGCCATGTGAATTGTCTTGAGGGTTGGGTGATGCCCCAAGTGAGAGCAGTAATCGGCAAGGATCTACAGATGTCACTTTCCAAGCTGCCCACATGAGAGGTGTCATTCCAGCAGCATCAGGCACGTCTGGCGATTGTCCGCGCGCTACCAAATAGGCCAGAACAGCTGTGTGCCCGAATTGTGCAGCCAGATGAGCACTGGCGCAGCCCTCAGCGTCACGGCGTGAGGGGTCTGCGCCCGCACGCATTAAAGCTACCGTCGCTTCCAAGTGCCCCTGCCGCGCTGCCCATTGTAGCGGCGTGGATTGCAATTCTCCACCAATAGCATCTACAAGAGCTCCCTTCGAAAGCAGATACTCTATGATTTCTCGCCTGTTGTTTATAGCAGCCCAATGGAGTAAAGTGACGGTTTCGTGATCGGGCTGGTTCACGTCCCAGCCGGCTTCAACGAGTTCTTTCACGCGGCCAAAGGCACCGTATTGAGTGGCTTTCACGATGTCAAAGCCACTGTAGTCGCGTTCAAGCGGAGCAGGCGGAGGCTCTCGCGGTGCTGGTCCATCACCCTCGCGTTGTGGCTCTCCACACTGACCGGTCGCGGCTGCACCGCACGTCCGATCGTACATGCTTAGGACTTCTCACCGCACACTTTTACTTACGATAAGGAACTCATTATCACATTTCTTGACTAGATTCTATGTTATTTTTTAACTGCAAAGTATGCTGTCTAGGCCGACTACGATGTACTTGGGTTTTTTGGATCTCATTCGCAAAAGAACAAATTTACTACCAAAATAAGTGCGTACAAAAAAATATTTTAAAGTCGACTTTAATAATTATTGATAACTAACACTCATACAGTCATAATAGATAGTGGACAGTCCCAGATGACTGATAGTGATAGTATACTCTATAAAATAAAGTATAGACTATGGTTTTCTATCACATCTATGGTTCTTCTAGCTAGTAGTCCCTAGTAATATGTAGTATGTACGTTCTCATAGTAAATATAATCAAAGAATATATTTACTACGAGGACATAATTATACAAGATGGTAAAATAAAATCCAACTCTCCGAACTTAAACCACTCATACGAAACATCAGTTAAATAATTTTGATATATTATATTATATAACCACCGATGTATAAATCTTTGATTCAGGTAATATAACTTTAACAGACTTAATAAAAGTTGTCCACATTATTATGTGTTACAAAAATACTTGAAATGAAGAAAAGTATAATTGTTATTAATACAACTTGTTGTTAAAAACAATTATATTAATACCAATGATATATATGCTTCTAACATAGATATTAGACAAATTTCTGATTTGTTAGTTTTTACGTCTGTGGATTGTTGTCAGTTAACGCCATTGCTGTTGCAAATTTTTGTCAATTTGTCAGTCAACTGTTGCGACTTGAGGTAGCGTACGCTTCTGTGGTCCGCTTTGCTTGTCGCGCTGCAGTGCGTGTGCTTTCAACTTTTGACTTATATCGCCTCGTAAGTTTGTGATATTTCTATATTAAGGTGTAATATGTGCTTTGAACGTCGATTATTTTGTCTATGAAGGTACACAATCAGGCTATTGTTTCGGGATACCATGAAAATCACTCCAAGATCATTCGAGTCGTGTCGATGCGTCACCTTTGTGAGCCATTTTACAAGTTCCTCTTACTCTAGAATTTGTCGCATTCTTATGTTAGAAAGCATATTTGCAGTATACAATTGTATTGAGGATCCATCCCAGTATTATTGAGACGTATATAACTAAACAAAAAGCGTAGTGACCCTAACCAAGAAAAGTAAGGTGAAGGAATATTAAAGTGACGCTACCTGCTTATTGCTGACTTACAAAAAAGCCGCCCCTTAAATCATTGTACCCAACGTTCTGAAACAAAGAACGGTTTATGGGTTTATTCATGAAACGTTTCTCATTGTACTCCAATGTTCTGGGTGTTATCTATTGCCTTGTAGTAGTAAGACGACTTTTGAAGTTTGATTTCCGAGTGTTTTCATTGAAATATCCGATCCTGCTATGTAAATAAAAAAAGGCAAAATGATAAAAGACAGATTGAGTAAACATTCAGATCACCTTAAACATCAAAGGTCATTGACCTTAGAGAAACCAATTATGCACAGATGTACATTAAGTTAGGAATTTAATTCAGTCTGGCTCATGGTCTACCAATTCCTCTCAACTTTGACATTTATTTGATAAAAACTTGAGTTCTTCATTTTACCTAAGGTCATTCACATTGTCTGAAGACCTATCTTCACTTAAACATTGAATTTAATACTTCATTCTCAATAGTAATCTTTATAAGGAAATAAATAAACAGTATCATTATTATGCAAATACATATTTGTTTTTAAATAATTCTTTGTCCTTGTCTAGATTATCCTTTGTCTAGATAAAACATGTACTTTGCTTAACTCACAACAATATTTATCAGTTCACACACCTGTCTGTTCTGTTGTCCGGTGTTGTCTTTTTTTAATGAATTTATACTTTTATTATCATGATTTGCATCTTATACAACAACTAACCTGTCTTTGTTTTATAATAATATTAAACAATGTGTTAATAAATTTCACAATAATAAGTTACAATTCTAGAGGATTATTATAAGTATCAACTTATACTTACATACTTTTTTCCTTATATTAACAGGGTTATTTGTTATTACATAGATACATAGTTTGGTAGACTTTTAAGAGGTTTAACCCACCACACTGCTTGAGCATTGAATTGCAAGATTTTCTCATTGACTTTATTTTAAGATTTAAACTACTTTCCTTCATATTTGGCATATAGCAGGTGTGTGTATTGTGATATGGAGCATGTTAGTTCATAGTCTATGGGAGAAGTGATATTATTATTACCATTCATCAACATTTCTTTGATTGCTAAAAAAATGTCTGTAATAGTGACTCGGCTGAATATATTTGGCTATGAAGACTTAGTCTTATCTTCAGAAATTTGCTTATATGTTAATAACAACTTTGCAATGTTATTTACTCTATTTAAATGTATAAAACTATGTTCATTTTGGTATAAACATACTCGACTGGCTCTGGTTATTGGTGTAATGGTAGCAATGTACAGCAATCAGTCGTGGTTTGAGCCCCACCGAATCCAACGTGTTTCTAATCAATTTATAATTTTTCTGAAACACGTTGGACTTAGTCTGAATATCTGGATATTAAAAGCTAGAGTGGGAATATTGTACTGTCACACTGTCCATGGATATAATAGCAGTCAATATCAATATCCAAAGCTAAATTAAATAGGTGGACAATGTAGATACATTGTTTCATGATATAACATCTGAACAAGATTGTTCAGATGTTATATGGCTGGAGTATTTCATCTTCCATCAAGTGTACACCATGCTTAGCTTTGTCTTTTTTAAGTAGACGAGGCCCCTTTATTATAAAGAAAAACCTAAAAATGTGATGAAGATTCTTTAAGTCTTTTCTACTCAGTTGAGTTAAGAATTGATTTATTAATATAAACTAGTTCTTTTGTTCTTCACATATTATGATGGTTAATACTAATATAATTTATTATTTAATTATGTACCTAGGTATATATTTCTTTCTACAAATCACTATCAGTTAAATAAAATGTATGACAGATGGGACTTCATCATTTAAATTAGGCTAGAGTTGAATTGATGGTGGATTTTGATTCACGATGATGACAATATTTTTCACATTTTATTGCACTCGACTGGCCATTTGAATATGGCAAATTTAAAAAATTTCACGAGAAATGCATATATTGCTGACGTCTAGGACACTGCAGTTATATTGTTTAGAAAATCAGCGGAACTCTGGATGCCGATTCAAGTCTCGCGCGTGGCGTATATATTTTTTTGGCTTAGTAGAATTTTGTGATTTTTGAACAGATAACCTGTAAAACGTCCAGATGTTTAGTGCCGATCTCGCTTTTTGTAGTGTACGCAGTTCTTGACCTTGGCTAGGTTAGGTTCGGGCGCGGCCGGTCGACGACCTCGCAATCTTCAGACTTGTTCTACCGATCTATACCTTAAATATATAATATAAGATCATTTGTGTCTGACGTAGGAGTAATAATGTGGGTAGCATTTACAGGCGAAACGATTGTGGCTTGAGCCATTTATTAGTGTCTGTACAGTTCTTAGTGAATTTGGTTATGATCAGCCCCTAGATGTCGTTGGCTAACTGTTTTGTGAGCTTCCATTCCGGTAATAGTGTTTCTTCAAAATGTATGATTTATTTCAATAAAGGGCTCTAATTCAATTGTCAAATATTTTAAATTTGCATTTCTGTTAAATTAGTATCCCTGATATTTATAGTCCTTCGAGCCGGATTCAAACCCTCATACTTTCCCTCATACATCCCTGATACTTTTAGGATTTGATCAGTGTCTAAAGAGCAGTCTATATAACTTCGCGTACAATAAGAAGTTATACAGAGGTCAAATATTGAAATTTTCACTTTTCTTCTTCGACTTCAAGGCATATGTATTTATTAGTCAGCCATGTTCGCCTTTAATATGCTTTTTCCAGGTTTTTGGCGTCATCTTTTTCAAATTTAGTCCACAACTTTTAGTTTGCCAGTCAAGCTTACAACAACTTTGGCCTTCTATTATTTTGTTACATGTTTTAATTGGTGTTCAAAACCAATCACAAATAATGTTTTGTGAAATCGATAGTGAAAAATTATTAACAATATGAACAAAAATCATTTTCAAATAAGTTTTACTAATATATCGCGTTTTAAACCGTTAAAGTGTTTTATTTAAATGTGTACTACTCGCGTAAACTATAGACAGTATCTAATATGAACTTGATATTTAAGAATGTCAACGTTTTTAACGCTTTTTTTATGTTCTCGCATAAACAGGTGCAGCGGGTGGCGCGGAGAGGCGGAGTAGCAGAGAGAGTAGACCGGCCGCAAGACGGAGAGCGCTTGGCAGCCGGGGCGGGTGGTGCGCGCCGCGGGGCGGACCGCGGTCCCCCCGGGGCGGCGCTGGGTCCCGCCATCCTCGCTGCGGCACCGCGAAGTGCCCGATTCCGACGCGAACCATGACCTCATCTTCCGGAAGGTATTTTATTTTCTTTAAACTTTAGAATGCTCCGCCCTCTAATGTTAAATGTATTAGGTTTCTTTGTGGCGTCCAGATTTTTTGGACTCAAAAAAAGAAAGTATTTATTTAAATAATAATAATTCGCTTGAGAAATTGGTCAGCAATTCTCTTAAATATATTATTGCACCATGGCTAATAGGAGTGATCGTGAATAGAAACAAGTCCTAAGTTTATTTCCATTTTTATTATGTACGATGGCTTATTACAAAAGATTCTAGATCAACACAGATTAAAAAAATAATTTATTCTTATCACGTTTCAGGTGCGCGGTATCCTCAACAAACTAACTCCAGAAAAATTTCAAAAACTGAGCGACGACCTGCTCGGATTGGAGTTAGACTCGGACAAAGTTCTGAAGGGTGTCATCTTACTTATTTTTGAGAAGGCCCTCGATGAGCCTAAGTATTCTTCTATGTACGCGCAGCTGTGCAAGCGCCTCAGCGAAGAGGCTCCTAACCTGGAGCCACCTAGGCGACCTTGCACTTTCAAACTGCTGCTACTGAACAAATGTCGTACTGAATTCGAAAACCGTGCAGAAGCGTTCGCCGCTTACGAAGACCGCGTGTTGTCACCTGAAGAAGAAGAGAAGCGGCACCTTGCCAAATGCAAAATGCTGGGCAACATCAAATTTATTGGTGAGCTCGGCAAACTAGAGATTCTAGCGGAATCTATCCTCCATCGCTGCATCCAGAAGCTTCTTGCGCGTCGCGCTGTCGCCGAGCATCACGAGGACCTGGAATGTCTGGCTCAACTCGTCCGAACTTGTGGACGCGTGTTGGATTCGGAACGCGGTCGCGGCTTGATGGACCAATATTTCGCACGCATCGATACTCTCTCCTCTGCGCCTGAGCTTGCGCCGCGCATCCGTTTTATGCTACGCGACGTGCTCGAATTACGTCGCGGTGGTTGGGTTCCGCGTGCGGCTTCTGCAGCGGCGGGCGAAGGACCCGTTCCTATCCATCAGTTACGCGCAGACGATGAACCACCACCGCGACGTGATCGCGACCGCGACCGTGATCGTGACCGGGACCGCGACGCGCTCTTCCGTGGGGGTTTGCGCTCCCGTCCTCTGGACGATGTCCTGGCTGGCTTATCGTTGCAGCCCCCAGCGCCGCTCGTCCCGTCATCGGATAAGCTATTCGGCAACGGGTTCGGCCGTGACGCTTTCAGACAACGCTCAGCCCCAAGTTATTTTCCGCGCTCACGCGGTTCAGCGGGGGGTGCGTCTAGCAACTCTGCCAGCAAAGAACGTACAGGGAAGTCACGCGTAGCTGTCCCAGCGGGTGGGCTTGAAAACGTGCAGATGCGGCCGGCGGCTAATTCTCTCATGTTCACGGCATCCAACCGGCTCAATAAGCCGCAGCCAGCTGCTATGTCTCTCGCACCAACTCAACAAAGTTAGTTTTTGTTTTAATACTCCGGATATACTTTTATGTATATACAGTTTGCTTATTATTTTGCTATGAAATGTCTTGGGTAAGCAGTCTTCAAATTTTCATTTTATTTCAGATGTTCTTCCCGCTGCGTTTGCCAGTTCGGCACCATTATTGAAGGAACCCCCCGATTACTATTAAAGCTGCGCCGGACAAAAAGGATAAACCTAAAAAAGACAAGGTATGATTTATTAAGAATTAGTATAGCATATGGCCACTTTAATGATTGATATTATCTATCTCGACGTGAGTTTAACATTTGTCTGTTTTTACCTTGTCTAATCGATTTTATGATGTCTCGTGCTTAACGCAAAAGTAAGCAACGGCTTTAACCATATAAATATGGAGGTCTTCCTTTGTTATACCAAAACTTTAAATCATTTATCTAAAATTTATTTTTACACTATATAATGCATGCTTTTTGTGTTTAGTAAATAGAAAATAACATATTGAATTATGCACCCATCTAAGCATATAGTCCATGTATTTTAGTACGAAACTTTTGTGACTTATATGATTCGCAAAATAATTTATGGTATGTTTGTAATTTTTGGGGTGCCTATGGTCTTTGAGAATTTATTAAAATTAACAATATTTCAATCACAAATTATACCTTAAAATAATTACATACAATAAATGCCATTAATTCGAAAGAAAAATCAAATAAATTATTATAGGGACCGAACAAGGAAGAGGCCTGTCGTTTGGCAGTGGAGGCGGTGGTTGAGCTTGAGCGATCGGAGGAAGAAGGGCAAGGAGAAGAAGAAGAGTGTGAAGCTCTGCGGCGCGTGCGCGAATTGGGCGCTAGTCTTCCTGATAAACTGCTGCGCCGACTCATCGCTGCTGTACTAGACTATGCACTCGCGGCTTCTCCGGATCCACCAGACACGTCCGAGGCACCCGAGACTGCCGACAACACATCGAACGCTCCGGACAGTTCCGCTCGCCTTAGCCGACGGGCACGTTCTGCTTGCGCTGTGGTGCGCTGCGTCAAGCGTGCAAACCTAGCTGACACTCTGCGCGCGCTGGTACACACGCACGGAAGCAGCGAGCGCATGGCCGCTGTTCTAGCTGGGGCCGTGCAGACACGTCTCGTCACTCTGGCAGAAGTGGGTGGGTGGTGCGAAGGCGGACACCATCACCCGCTGCTCTTGGATGTTCTACGCGCACTTCGGGACGGCGTAGGTGCTGACGAATTGCAGCGCCTTTACACTGAGAGCAAGATTGATCTATGCGCATACGCAGCAAGTCCTGCCGGCGGCGGTGTAGAGGCGTTAGAGGCTCGTGGGCTCGACGCCTTAGTACCTCAACTGAGGGTGCAGGCTGCTTTGGCACGGCAGCTAGCGCTTGATCCGTCACCGAGTGCTTTGTACCGATGGATCAAGACACACGTGGAGCCTGGAGTGCGGGGTACGAGCGCGTTTGTATCGGCACTGATGGCTTTGGTGGCAGCGCAGGTGACACAGGGCGCGGGAGGTGCCGCTGAACGTGAACAGGCTCTACTTGAGGGCTATGCTCCACTGCTGCGGGCGCTTCTAGACCGTCGCCCCGACCTGCAGTTGGCTGCTGTTTATGCCGTGCAAGTGCACGCGCACAAACACCACTATCCCAAGGGTAATCTTTATTTAAATATGGGAAAATTTTCACTCAATATTCTATTATGAAACATCTTAATTCGTTAAACGGCAGAGAAAGTAGAACAAAATCTGTAATTCACCTTATACGTAGAGACAATTTCACGTACCATAGTATACAATTGTCTTTCGTCATGGTTACATGCTGTAGTGGCGTCTTCAGATAACCTAATATGTGATATTTTGTGTTTAGGCATGTTACTGCGCTGGTTCATGTACCTTTACAACATGGAAGTGTGCGAGGAGGATGCATTCCTGCGCTGGCGTGAGGACGTTACTGATGCGTACCCAGGCAAGGGCGAGGCACTTTTCCAGGTACTTACAAGTTATATATTATAAAGATTTAGAACTCAGTACATACTAGTATGTATATACACTGTAGTACTACTTAACTATTATCAAATAATGCCATGACTACAGGTCAACGCGTGGCTGACGTGGCTGCAGCAGCAGGAGTCCGAGGACGAGGAAGCGGAGGATTGAGGCTGGCCCTCGCCTGGCGCTGCACTCACACTGAAGCCCCCACACTGATACCAGCACCGCTTTTATTTGCGCTCATCTCATCTCATAACTATAATTAAGCCAAATAGTTTAATACCAACCTCGTAGCCTGCGGCACCGCGCGCGTTTTTCGCGTTTCCAGTGTTAAATAGGTCAATTTTTTAGGTTATACTATGTAACAAACATTAGTATCTCGAGATAATTTTTTGTAGGCCTTTTACTCGATTTTGATACTTTTACAAATAAACGTATACAATGTATAGTGTTGGTTTGAACGTATGGTTGCACTCCCGTCTGCCCTCCCCACAATGTTCAAGTTTATTGTTTAGTTGGAATTGTAAAAATCATATAGATTTAAATCAATTATAAATAGCGTCACCATTTAATTGTGAATTTGAAATGAATGTAGTGGGTTACCTGTAATGCTTCAAATTTATTGTGTTATCAGATAATTTGTAACTAGACAATTGAACCTTGATAATAGAAGATGCGTGTCAATGGAGTGAATTGTTACAAAGTTGTGAAGTGACATCAGGTTTAAGTAATAATAATAATAATCAATATATGTATTCAGGATGAGAATTAAACTTCAGTGTAATTTATTACATTATATTGTTTCTTATTTATATCCTATAACTAGACTTCACATTTGATCAGGTGCGACCCGTTTGCCCTTACTCCGTGTGGGCGTCAGCTCAAAAACCACTGTGTTCGATGATCACTGGTGCTGCAAAATGGAAAAATTATTTACATAATTAAAATAACACTTGTTTATATGTAAATAATAAGTTTATTACTGATAATTGCATAAAGCAAGTTATAGAGTAATTTTTTAAATAGCATGTGTAGGTTTAGTTAATTGGATTAACTAAACCTACACAGGCTGGTGGAATGGTTAGAAGGGTTTGTAGCCTGATCATCCAGCTTTAAATAAATATCTCCAACAAATGAATTGTAATATTAAGTAAATATGTATGAAATGATTATTATTATGAATGATGTAAGTACCTAAATCTAATTGTAACTAGTGAAGATAACATTTATTTTATCTTCTATTAACTCTCTCTAAACCATTTAAAGCTTTGTAACTTTGCAGAAAACTAATATTAATTGCATATGCCTAATGGATCTTAAAAAAAGGTGCCTCTATCAGATACATATTATAAGCTTTATCCCCAAGGTATACTACAAATAGCCCTTGACAATATTAATAACGATTTTATAAGTGCGGTTTGTAAGAGAAAATAGAAAAAGATATTCACCAATACGAATAGCAGCACATAGAACACAAAACGTAATGACACTATTGATAGTGTTTTCTCTCGCCTGACGCTTCTCTTCCATAGGATCTACTCTTTCCCCAAAAGGCAAACGAAACATTTTTATTTAAATTCTTTTACTCAGAACCCTAAAGAAAACTAAACATCAAAATTTTGAAAAGGTTATTTTAAAATTCCTTATTTTCCAGAGGTTATAAATTTTATAAACCATCTACACTCTGCTTTGACACAGATTCCTTATAAAGTTCTACTTTAGAGCCTACCTATTTGTGGTCAAATATTTGATCTGGCAAACAAATGTAAAACGTATCAAAACGCGGCTAATTTAAAAAACACTATAAAATATAGTGTGTAATACTGGGAATTCAATAATATTATTATTTATTATGGTAATACCATGTAATACTTTAAAAATACCACATTCTATCGCCATGGATTGCGCCTAGGTTTGTTTTAACCAATAAAATAAATACTTTATTTTCATCATAGATGTAAAAAAATCTTTCAGTATTCGGTTTTTTATTTATTTAAATAGTCATTGTATGTTTAAGTGTTTCTATAAGTTGTAAATGTCTGCTAAAGCATATTTGTGCAAGAAGTTTTTTTTTATGTGCTAAATGATATTAAATATTTAGCATTTACTACATATACAATACAATTAAATTGGCATACAAAATATATTGGACATTATAATGTAATACTTTGCAAATCGTGTGTTCGACGGTTCTTACGGATCGGGGTAATATGAGAATACCATCTGGCAACATTGCTGGTAACGAAAAACTTAAATACTATTTGGCGAGTGAAATTAAAATATATGCTCTGTGTTAGGTAGTTTTGATTCAATAATATGGTGTTTCGTTACATTTTCATTTCACCATATTAACTATATTCAGAAAACCGAATTTGTCTGAGCGTAGTATAGGCAAAGTGAGTCGAATAAAATATACAAGTTGCGCAATATGGCGTTTTTGGCTCAGCTGCTCTCGTGAAAAACTAAAATAAACTTAGTGACTCTGACACGCTCTAATTGGCATGATTTTGGAAGTAACAGTTATTATAGCTTAACCAGTAGATAAACGAAATGTGATGGAACAAGTGCTTCTAAACTCCATAGCGCGTAGCGAACTGTAAAGGATTCAAAGTAGGGTTTTCCTGTTTATCAGATCTATTCTGTATTGTTTTTGTCCGGTTCGCCACACCGAGAATCCGTCAAGCTGGAGCGACTTCCGGAGTATCTGCGGGATACCGTCGACTGGTTTATGGGGTGAGTAAAGTCACCACTTGCCTTTACTACATGTAAACCTCATCTCCTTTTCTATTGTCAATACCCAATTTATCTATTTTATGCAGCTCTGTTTTGTTGTAGTATTAAAAATATTGCTTGTATTCCAAGAGTCATATAAAACACTCATTCAATATTATTCAATGCATGTTGTATTCACAGTAGGATAATGATGTTATTTCAATATTCCCAGTCAAATTTCAACACTTACACTGTTTCACTGTAAAAAGTTATAAACTATGAATCACTACTTTATTGTACCTGTAAATCAATTAATATAATTAAATTCATACACTTAACATTATTCTTGTAATAAAATTTACTTGATATATTTAATTAATTAATTATTACAAAGAAAATTAAGGAACTACCTTTTTTTTCTTTGTAATAATAAAACAAAAGTAAGTCGATCTGGGTCATTGTTGTGACAAACAATTTTGTGAAACAATGATCATTTGTAGACTTGGTTCAGGAACTTTAAGATGTGATTAAATTTTTGTTAGTTTTTTGCTAAAGAGGTCAATTACATTTTGTATTAACATAATGAGGCATGGCAAATTCTTGCATAGACATATTAAAAGTTACATACAAACTGATAACAATGCATGTTCTTTGTTTGATTAGCACCAACATTATAATTTGAGTTCAAAATAAATAATTTATTTATGTTGGTAGTAAACACATGTGATTAAAATATCATGTAATTAAAATTAACTACCGGTTATCAAGTTAATGATGCAGGAACAAGAAGTGTTAAGGTACTTACAGCTGCTAATTTCAATATTATTTTTTACCCCATTCTCTCTCATTGTATTACAATAAGCAAGAAATTGTAGATAAAGGTCTATTAATTGAAATTTTGCTGGATGGATGTAAGAATTTCTGTCATTTGTGTGCTTTACTTATTTTTAAATAATTAATTTTAGAACTTCAAATTCTAGATAAAAACCTTCTGTGCTGACATTAAATTTGAACGCAACCAAATACATACATGACTCATCAAATATCACAATGCTTAGCCCATAGTTATCTATTGCTGTCACATTTATTATTTGTAGTTAAAATTTTATATTCAGATTAAAAATTATAATCTGTTAGTCCGTAGGTGTATATTCTGAAGTATAGTCAGTTGATAAGTAACCAAGTGTTTTTCATTTCAATGACGTCATTTTCCGAGGGGGTTGTTGGTGCAATGGTACCAATTTATGGCTCATAATCAATGGGTCGTGGATTCGATCCCTACAGACTTTGATATATTGCTAATTTATTTGATATAATTTTCCTGAAACATAGACTTCGTGCGGGTCACGAACTACCGTCCACAGATGGAAAAGCCGTGAGGTGCAATCGCGTTTCGATTTTAGTCTGTGGATTTCCAAATATCCAAATCCACAGCACTTCTTGTTTAGATGTTATATGGTGAGGTATTCCATACCATCAAGTAAACCTCTATACTTGTATTTCCTCCTCTATCATAAAAACGCCTGGTAACGCGCTAAAACCCAGGTGTTAAATATGCCGTGTGAGGTGTGATAAGGCGTGATGTCAGCCGCGAGCGAACAGCGCGGTGGCTTCAGTCACTCGCAAGTCGCGCAGGCACGTCGCCGTGGCGTTCTGCCTCCACTCCCGTTGACAAGTGACACCCCTAGATGACATGCTGCGCGTACGCGACCGGGCCCGGGCGCTGCTGCCGTCGTCACGCGGCTATCGCGACGTCCCCCTCCAACCCGTCGACGTCGACGACACCGTCTCCTGTTTCTGCAGGTCTCTGCCATGATAAAATACCCAGTGTAGTGCCCCAGTAATTTTCCTCGATGTGAATTCTCAAGCGACCTACTTACTGCTCTGTTAGATTTTGAAATCGTCGGAGACTTATCGCGCTATCGCACGTTATCACCTCCACCTGTGTGACGTCACGAGTCACGACTCTCCTAGCATTTGCAATAATATAATATGTATACATTATGAGTCATTGTTTATGTTCGCGACTCTTACGGAAAAAGAGTGCTAGTTGACGCAATATTTATAATTGAAATATTAGAATACACCCATGGTAACTGCTGTTGTCCTATGTTACAAGCTTTAGTCTTCATAAATCATTGTATCTAATTACTGTTCTACAAAACCTTTAATTATAACAAGTAGGTGTAGTTTAGAATGTATTGCTTCGTGATAAAGCGTATTTTCCTACACCATTAGCTTTAATCCTACAAAAAAATCACAATACACAGCCAATTGTCTTTTACCCATTGATAACGAGTTCGCCTCAGTAGGTACTAGTAGTTCAGCCGTAGATCCTGAATAAAGTCGTGCTAAAACCAACTATGTTTGTTGCAGGTGAGTCGTATGCTCGCTCGCTGTGGCCCGTAAGTTTTGACACGTTTATAAGCCTTAACTTATTTACAACTAATAATCTC